GAAACCCAACGGGTGTAACTGAGGGCAGAATTTGACCTATTTAAAAAAAGTCTTTTGTTTTTAAAATATATGCTCTTTACCCAACTGTTCTGACCTGATTTCCCCCCCCCTTCAGTATTGTTAGCTGATGCAGCTAACTGAGCTGAATAAATCATGCTAAGGGGCACACGTGCGTGGGACAGATACAAGTCCACCAGGAATCACAGCGATGAGATGCTGTCTGTTAAGCTTGAAAAAAGCATCAGCTTCTGCATGCATAAAGCCAAAGTGCTGTAAATCTCTCCCCGACGTAAAGCCAGATGATGGCTGATGCTGTGCAGGTGCGGTAGCGGGGAGACAGCACAGCAGGCTCTCTTCCCCACTCCAGGGTAGCTCTGCAGGTGGCAGCTGTGGTTAGGCAGGCTGTACAGGCTGTGCGGTAGAGGCAGTCGGCCCCAGAGAGGGTGTTTACAATGGCGAGGGCTCCACACTCTCCATGCTCTCCAGCAGAGCTTCGCTGGAGGAAGTAAGAGCTATAACTTTTTCAGGTGGTAGCACAGGACACTAACCAACATGCCCCTCGGGTGCCTGTGGTCTGATAGCATTAAAATTGCCATTTGAATCTGTTCTATAGATTATTCACTTACTAACTGAATGGTTTGGCCTGTTTTATTTTAAAGACTTTGGAGGCACTGGGCCCAATTCACCTTGGCCCTAAACCTCGTGTAGTCATTGCATAGCTGCTAAAATAGGCTACCACATGAGAGTGGTGGCATTTGCACCCATTTTGCACTGGGGTAAATGATGCACCAGGGCAATAGTGAATTGAGCCCAGAATGCCTCCAGTGCTACTTTAGTGGAGCACCTCCTCTTTTTCACCAGCATATCTCAGGTTCTAGAGAGACACAATTAAAGCTCTCCTGTTTGGAAAGAACTGCATCCCGAACAGATCGTTTCCCCACTAATTAGTATTTCATGGCTTCCCCCACCTCCACCCCACACCACCAATTCCCCTCAGTCACCTGTATGGCCAGAGTGAGAAACCATAGCCAGAAAACACTTGATCACTCAAAAGAAAAAAAAGTATTTAAAATAAAACAGGCCAAACCATTCAGTTAGTAAGCGAATAATCTATAGAACAGATTCAAATGGCAATTTTAATGCTATCAGACCACGGTGATGTTTAAAGGAGGGCTTTTTGTTTGGTTGGTTTTTGTGTGTGTTCAGAGCTGCAGAGACCCACGGTGACGACATCCAGATTAAAGAGAGCAAAATCTATTATCTGTCTCCAGATTTATTCAGTAATACTGGTCCAATTTCCAACTTCCAGGAATAATTATAGTACTGCACATGGTTGACATCCTCCAAGTAATAACTAACCTATATTTTAAGCTAGGCTGTATTGTTCATATTGACTCTTTCCCTTCGGTGTCTTTAACAACAGTACACATTCCCCATCACCAATTGCATCTCATCCTGTATTTAAACTCCCCTTTGCTATACACTTCAGCATTAGAGGAAAGTCAATCTCCTTCAAGGAAATGCATATCCTGTATCTCTCCTGTCACGGGATGAATTAGGGTACCCTATCCAAAGTCATGTTCTGATTGGTTAGTTGAGGCTTGCCCCTTTTGGTGATGTCACAACTGTGTATTAACTACCAACGAAGCCTTGATTCACCATTGCGTTACTCCATGTTTTGCTGGCACAACTCCACTGAAGTCTGATGGAACCCAAACAGGCTTCCAAACCTGCCTGGTTTCCTGCCAGCTCACCCACCCAGCTCCGCAGCAGCCTGGGCTTCCAGGGTTCATGGCTGTCCCCACTGATTTCAATGGGGTTACACCAGCATATAACAAAGAGTAATGCGAAGAGTGAATCAGGGCCAAAGATAATTTTATTGAGACTTTCATCTGTTACTCTTAGAAATTCCCATAGCCTCTCAGTGTTACTCTTATTTACCATTATAGAAATTGCAGGCAGTACTATTCTAGATATTAACAGCCCTCTTGTGAAGATCTGGGAAACCTCTGAACAGGAAGATATGGCAGATATGTTGCTACCCTCACCACTATTTCTTGTGGATGTTAGTGGGGAAGGGAGATATAGCTGACTCCTTGTTCTGCTGAAAGCTACTTCTGAAAGACAGAGGTATAACTAGTAATCTGAAATTTGCAAATCCACTGGCTGATAAGTTACCATTTTCCTCACCTGAGTATGCATTTATTCACCCATGGCAATATGATCATCAATACCCACTGAAGTCAATGTAAAGACTCCAGCTGACTTCAATGGGCACTGGATCAGGCCCTATTACTAGCCATGTGATAATAAGAGGACAGGACCGACAAAAATGAAAACAAAGCTGCCAGGCACCAAAAGAAATGCTTCCTGTGAAAAAAATTAAAATTTGTATATCACAGTGTGCATTCTGAAAGCAATTTGTACTCACACCAGAAATACTGATTTGTGGAATGGCCCTGTGAAACAGTACTAGAGCTGTCTGGAAAAATTCCGACAAAACATTGTTTCATTGACGTTTGCAGATTTGGCTAAACTGAAATGTTTGTGGACTGCTGGGGAATCCAGGATCTGTAGCTAGCCAGGTGTAGTGTCCCAGAGCTGTGGCTCCATCCCTTTTCACAGAGCATTTAGGCATTTTTGGTTTTCGTTCCTAATTGTAACAAAATCAGATTTTGAAATATCAAAATCCTCTGTGAAACAGAATTACCTTTCTCCAGACAGCTTTATAGAGTACTTCATAGAGAGCTGTCTGCTGTCATGGAAATGCTTTTTGCTTTCACAGATGGCATTTCCATAAATTACAATTCCTTGAGTGGAAAAGCAGGAGGGAGGGACACCGAGGTAACTTGCAAAGCCATTGACTGATAAATTTCAGATTACTAGCTTCGCCTGTCTTTCAGAAATAGCGTTCAGTGAACATCATGGTGGGGTTTTATTGTGATAAGGAGACTTGCCTGTTGGAAAATGGACCAAGACCACTAGCAGGCCATCAGACAGTAATGATATTCAGTTACTAATGTCTGGGTTTAAGTCAGCAATCTTTAACAATCCCCTGAGCTATCCAGTCCACCACGACCAGGAGATTTTCATTGCCCCACGTCCAGTTTGCATGTCATGGGCAAATCTATGGGCCAAAGACTAAGACTTGCTTAGTCTTCCCTTTCAGGATATGGCTGTGCCTCAGGTTCCCTGTTGGCTGGAAGTCTCCCTCTCCATGTCAGGGATAGTTTTAGACCTCCAGCTGGAATAAAATACTCCTCTTTTCCCAAGGTAAACAAGAGTCCACTGGAAAATATCCAAACAAAAAGCCTTCACTCGATTTGCTCTCTGAGCGACAACCCTGAGCAGGGGCATCATTTGCTATGAGGCAGGGCAGACTCAGTTGCCCCGCGCAGATCTTTGGCCTCCAACAGACTTTTCATAGGTCTATATGCTCCACTCCCCCTCCTCCCAGCCTTTGCAAGATATAATACATCACATATAATGTTCTATATGCTGACACAACTTTGGCCCCCTAGAATTTTTCTGAAATGATGCCCATGGCCCTGAGACCCTAAACAATAAAGTAGCCATCTGCTCCAGCCTCAGACATTCCCACTTCACTCTTCCTTCCCATCCCACAGCCCCTGAGTTACTTGCTTGCTTGTCTGCCTGCCTCTTAGGCCTTCTCTCTCGCTCTTTTCCAGGCTTCTTCATTGCAGCCCATCCCACGCTCCTTCTCTGTTAGTAGCCCCACTCTAGGTCTTGCCCAGACCCAGTTGCTGAAGAGTAACGGCGGTGGGTGGTGCTGCTACTCTCTTTCTCTAGGTCTCTCTTTCGTGGAGTGAAGGGGAGCATATTTATAGCCCTTCCCCAGCATTTCTTGCTGTAGCCTGGAGTTCCTATTAATCCATCCGGGAACTACAACTCTCTAGAGTGCTTTAATCCGGGGCCAAGACAGTAATAGGAATGTGGGGCCTGGGGGCTGCCTTTAGCCAGCATGCGCTTTTACAAAGGCCAACTTAAATAACACTGCATTCTGTGCAGCACTTCTTTCAAAAAACTACTCCCACTATAGCCAGCTATACACACTGCAAGTACATAGCTCTGCTCGGATTAGCTACTGGCAGTTTCCATGATTTGCATACTGTGGGCCACATTATCAGCTAGTGTAAATAGGCCGACAGCCATTGACTTCTCTGAAGTCTATGCCTATTTACAGCTGTTGAGAATCTGTCCTTGTATATTTTATTTTGTATTCATAATATGGAGCGGGCCAGTCCGTTTTGATGAATCACGAACACAGAACTGCTGGCCCCGGTTCACAAAAGCCTTTTAGCAAGGCAGCTTTCTCGATTTTAGTGTAATAACTTAGGACCAAAATCTGTAATTCACAGGTATGTCATGCCTCAATTTCAAAGGGACATGTCAATGTGTATCCAGTGGCAGAAACTGGCCCTGTAATGGGATATCCAAATTATGAGGATCCCATATGCTACCTTTTTTATTCACATATAATGTAATTAAACAGGGAAGAAATAAACATGCAAACCAATAATACAGGAGTCCAAGGGCCAATAAACCGAAAATATAAGGTTGGGTTTTTTTAATTCAGTGCTTCATGCCAACTCAATATACTCAGGAATTGGTAACTTGTTTAAAAACTTCAAAACAAATTTGATGAGTTTCAGGAATTTGCTAATTGCTACTAGACAGCATAGTTTTAGGGGGATATGTTAATGCAATGTTTTGATAATAGAATTCTATCTGTAACAGTAAAGGTAAAAAATTACCTAGCTGTGAGTAGATAATTTGGCAACTCTTATTACTGTTGTGCAAAGTACAAAAATTGTCTTTTGTCGTAAACTATTCCTTGGATTAAGCCAAGGAGGGGAAAAATCTCAGTTAAACTTGATATTCCATTTTTACATGACCTTGCTGGGCACGGGTTTGGCAGCTTATAGTGCAAGAAGAAACTATTAAATAGTATAGAAATGTTAATGCAGCTGGCTGCTTACCTCCGAATCCAGGTCTCATTGCAAAGTCATGGTCATCTATGCGGAGAAGTTGCTCAGACTTTAGTGGGCGTACTTTGGTGCTGTCTAATTTCCTCATTTTAATTTCTCGTTTGCTGTGTTTTAAAAAACAATCAAGTCAGGAGCTTCATTGTACTGACTGACATTCACAATCATGATTCAATTAGATGAAATGACTAGATTACTGGATTGTAGGCAGTGACACAACCACATGAAAAAAAATTAGTGAAAATGGGGAGGGGAGAGACCCAGAGTGAAAATGCACAGGACAACTGTATTGAGGGAGAACATCAACAAGATATAAATAAATTGGCGGTGGGACACACGTCCCCTTCGATCCCCTCGGAGGTTGCATCTATAGGTGTGGGAGAGAGTGTATCCAAGATAGATAAACACTTGTTGAAGAAACTGATACATCAGTTTTCACCTAGATACCTTCTTCTGTTTGGAAATAACATAATATGTTTGCAACTTTAATGCATGCCACACTAAGTCACATGTTTTACTGGGGGAGTGGCAGTGACCTCATATAGCGGTTGCTCAACACTCTTCATGATAACATTTCTATTGTTTTTAAAGAGCTCTAATGTCTCAATGGCTTGTAGCAGGACTCTAAAATTTGGCAGTGAGATAATCCTGGGGTCAAGGAGGTGCCTTTTGGTGTCCCCCTTAAATAAATCATTCAGATTTGGCCAAGTTAGAAGCTGAAAAGAAATCAGCATTTCCAATTTGTATTTTGCTTATTAAAGCTCATTCTTAGATTTACTGCCAAAACCAGCCAACACTCCATTAGCACTGCGCATGGTACCATCTCAGCATGTCCTACACTGCTGAACCTGCAAAAGGAACACAGACAACATAGATGATCCTTTTCCTGTTGTTGCTGGAACCAGGACACCATACATTCTAGACTCATATCTAGAGACTGGTGTTAAAATTCTGTTCCCTTCACAACACTTTTTATTAAGCAAAGGCTCAGACCTCACCAAAAAATTACACAAGCTGGGAACAGAATCTGGGTCTTTAACGTGGCAGACTCATGTCTCACCCACACTGTCTCTCAGAAAGAATGTATTGAATCTTAGCTTGGCTATGCTGTGTGCAAAGCATGACTACTCCCGCATATGTTTCCACTGTTTCACAGTGTTTTATGTGTCCTCCACCAGTGGCTGGCTTACAGAGGCTGCTCCCAGCTATTGTAATTACTTTTGTAGTTGGTGTGGTAGAAGTCTCTGCTGAAAGTTCAGGGCTCAACCCCCTTTTTTTGATGGGGAGGCAGAGAAACAACGTTAGTGGCACATAATAGAATTTGTTTTCCTCTTTTTCTTTTGTAAAGAAAACCCAGGAAATTACAGGATAAAAATATCAATGTTAAAAGCATGTTAAGAAGCTGGTTCAGTTATTATTTATTATTTTTATCACCATACCCACTAGGAGCCCTCATCATAGACCAGGACACTCTTGTGGTAGGCACTGTCCAAAGACAGAACAACAGGGAGCCACATGCAGTTACTGTGAATCATGTGCTGCAAATGTACCTTTCTGCCACTCATAGAGTGGATTTTTCAATGTGTTTAGTAAAATCTGCATTCACTAATGCAAAAAGCATAACATTTTGACAGTCAAAATGTTTTGTTCTTTATTGAAGGAAATGGACCAAGAGAATAATCTCTTTCTCGTGTACTTTTGGTTAATGCTTTAAAATCTTCTTTGCGAGAGAATGCAGACAAATAGCTTGGAGGGGGAAGTTGGTTACTCTATTAAACCAGTGAAAGTTGTAGGTTAAGTAACATTTTCACATGGGATTCTTTATAAAAGGCCACTCATTTAACGAGGCCATCTGTCAGCAGTGTCCCTAATCATCCTAGTGCTGGCTGAAAGGGATTTCCCCAGGAGGAAAAAGAGGTTGCTGGAAAGTTAGGCCCTGTGGAAATGGACTGGAGATAATGCCCCCTTTAGAAATAATGCCAAAGAGAATCAAACAAGGAAAAATTAAATGTATTTGGCTCCTTTCTGCAGAAATGCTGCTCAGCAGCTGCTAAGCTCTGGGATCCTCTGTGGCTTGGAACCTGCAGTCTAGTCCCAATTCCACTTAATGTTGCAAGTGGTCTACAGAATACAAGCATTTGAGGGCAGATCCTCAGTGGGCGTATATCTGCTAACTCCATGGATTTCAAGGGAGCTACGCCAATTTGCACCAGCTGAGGATCTGGTCGTGGAATTCCTCTCCAACTCCCTTCTCTTTGTATGGAGGTCAATGTTGACATGCTTCTCCCTTTTATCTTGCCTACCTCACAGGAGTTTCATGTGGATTAATTAGTTAATGTTTGTAAAGCTCTTTGAAACCAAAGACGTTATATTAGCACCAAATATTGTTGCAATCATACAGCAATAGGTCTGTACAGTATGTCAAGCAGGATTCTACTGTGGATGCACATTCTCACTGCCAGACCCTCTCCCATTTTGTGAATTGTTATGCCAGTGGTGGATACTGGATCAACAGCCAGAAACTCAAGTTTGCTATTCACAGAACAGGACAAGGAGCGGGAACCGTAGCATACACATCTCTCTCACCTCCCTACCAACATTCCTCAACTCAGACAAGCAGGGACCACCTTGAGGTGTTAGACAGTAGGTCAGTCTCCATTCCCATGCAGCTCTTCACCTACTTGCATGACTAACAAAGTGGCAATTATTTCCCATTTTGATAGCGGGATTCTTGTTTTTAATGGACAATGAGTCCAGTGGTGATGACTCCTAGATGTTCAGTTCATTTCAGACAGACTGCTGAACAGTCAGAACTTTCAGGTCTGCTTGGCTTGGACTGGATTTGAACCTGTGACTTAAAGATGAGTCATTACTAGTTCCCTGAGCCGTGCATCTTTTCCATGCACCTCAGTTATTAAGTTATGATTGCTTCCACTACCATGTATTTCTTATACACAAATTCAGCAGGAAATTCAATGATTCAGAGGTGGTGCAGCTGCCAGAGGAGTCCAATTATGGTGTACTTTATCAACATATGGCATGACATGAATAGGCTACGAGTCCCGTGCTGTCCATTATTACACAATGCTATGCATACAGAATATGGGGAAACAATCGCCTTCCCTTTCTTCCTCCCATAAATTTAACTATTTATCAAAATGTCTCATGCGTTCGTGATAAGGCATAATTTCGATGGATGGGTTATTATCGGCAGTAGATTGAGACCTTGCATTTTTATTTATGTATTATAATGTAAACACATTCAGAGGCCTCACATGTATGATATGAAATTGATCTATACAAGCAGTTGCTGGGGGGGGGGGGGGGGAGAAGCCATTTCACCCAGAAACTTAAATGCAAAAGGCTTGATGTCACCTTTTTATTTTCTTTTAAAGCAGCCACCCTGATGAAGAAAGGCAAAGGAGAAAACCTAATATTTTTAAAGCCTGCCTTTCGCTGTAATAGTTAGATGCAATAATCCCAACTAAAAACTAAATAAAATATATTAAACCGCTTAAGCTTTGGGATTTGCAGTTAGACGTGGAATAATTCCATAAATAAAGTATTCCAGAAGAGTAACCAACTGTAACATGATTAAAATGAAAACTTACTTAAACTAGCCTTATTCTGTTGTTGAAAAAAGCATCTGGATACAGTAGTTATTACACTGATATTTAGTGCAATCAAGATAACGTAATAATGATAGCATAAACCCAATTTTAGATATGAATTTGTTTCTGATGGTAGAAAGAAACTGAAACACTTGAACAATTGTATGTTGACAGTAATACAGTAATCGCAATACTTAACTCTTATGTGGTGCTTTACATTTTCAAAGAGCTGTACAAACATTATCTAACTGATCACACACACACACACACACACACACACACACACACACACTATATATATATATATATGTATAAAGTATTTATAATCATGATACAGAATGATCAGTGATAGAAACGTTACTGTAAAATAGAATTACTTTTTGTCTCATGGGGCACCCAAATGCCCCAGGCAAAACTAGGACCCCACTGTGCTAAGTGCTCTACAAACACAAAGACCAGTCAAGTAGGACTCTGAACAAAGAAAATGCCTTCTTAGGTTTGGTGACAGACACACAATGTTTATTAGCAGAAGGGCAGCAGTGAGCCAGGGTATACAGCTTACCTGTTATGCTTCTTCATGGATGAGCATTTCTGTTGATGATGTTGATGAAAACGATGATGATGATCACTTTGAGAACTGACACTGGTTAGTGCAGCTGTTGGCCAGAGGCAGGTGAAGAGCAGCAGTTTTATTACCAGGACCATGTCTACCAAAACAGAAATGCAATGGATTCAACCAATCCACCTCAATGACCTTTCACTTTTAGTGGTCCTGTTATTTAGAGACAGCATACCATAAAGAGGATGCAAGTATAACGAGGCATCACTGAAAACAGACGACAAAGGCATCCCAGTTTGGATTTCCTCTCTGAGCTCTCCTTTTATTCTAGCAAATTGCAAAAATTTCTTAAAATCCACATACTAGGGTACCTGCTGTCAAGCAGCTGCAGTTTGCCTTTAGAAATGTAATAAATATAACCACTTATTTTGTTGATTCTCCGTTTGCGCCATTGCTTCCACTCTTTCAGGGTAGGTTCTTAGTCAAATGAGAGCTTACTGAGTGGGTGATAAAGCAAATGTAGCCCTGTGCAGACAAAAGGGTGATGTCAAACATTTAATCCCCCTTAATCCCCCACAACACCATATAAAAATATTTCATTGTCCTATAAAATCTGTGCTTAATGAGACAAGGTCACTAAATTAATCTTAGTTACTGTATATATCATGAAAATAATTTTCTACACAGATCAAAATATTTCATTAATTGAGTAAGCAGTGTTTGTTCCACAGATTACTGACATTATTTGCTTTTGTGATTCAGGGTAGCAAGCAGCGTGACCAGGTGTCCGGTTTTTGACCGGAACACCCGGTCAAAAAGGGACCCTGGCAGCTCCAGTCAGCACTGCCGACCAGGCCATTAAAAGTCCGGTCAGCAGTGCTGCGGAGCTAAGGCAGACTAGTCCCTACCTGTCCTGGCTCCATGCTGCACCCCGGAAGCGGCCAGCAGGTCCGGCTCCTAGGCAGGGGGGACCACGGGACTCCGCGCACTGCCTCTGCCCCGAGTACCAGTTCTGCACTCCCATTGGCCGGGTACCACGGTCAATGGGAACTGCAGGGGGCGGTGCTTGCAGGCGAGAACAGCGCACAGAGCCGCCTGCCGCACCTCTGCCTAGGACCCAGACCTGCTGGCCACTTCCTGGGTCGCAGCAGAGTCAGGACAGGCAGGAAGCCTGCTTTAGCCCACGCCACTGCGCACCTGACCGGGAGCCGCCAGAGGTAAGCCCGTGCCCCAATCCCGAGCCACAACCCCCTACCCCAGCCCTGAGCGCCCCCCCAAATCCAGAGCCCCCTCCTGCACCTCAAACCCCTCACCCCCCCGTCCCAGCCCAGAGCCTGCACCCCCAGCCGAGAGCCCTCACCCCCCTGCCCCAGCCCAGAGCCCCCTAGCACACTCTGAACCCCTGGTTTCTGCCCACATCCCCAGCTAGAGCCCTCACCCCCTCCCACACCCCAACCGCCTGCCCCAGCCCAGTGAATGTGAGTGAGGGTGGGGGAGAGCCAGCCACCAAACGAGGGGAAACTGTAGTGAGCGGGGGGTGGGGCCTCGGGGAAGGGGCAGGACTAGGATATTTGGTTTGTGCGACTAGAAAGTTGGCAACCCTAATCTTGACTGGAGAAATATAATTAATTCTGGGCAGTGTAACCTGTTGAGAAGAGCCCAATCCACAACAACTCTTGTGTCAATGTTTTTGGCATTGAATCTGAAATTTGGAAATTCCCCCCCCCCCTTTTTTTTTTTTTTTTTCTATTCCTTCACTTTATAATAAATATATAGGACACAACCATGGGTGAGCTCGAAGAAACTTCTGTTTTGATGATAAATATATCACCATATTATCATCCATAAAAATACTGGAAAAATTCTACCTTCTGTTAGTGTAGCAGGATTTTGTACATAATTTCTAAGTATTTTTTAACCAAAGCATAATTTAAAATAAGATTTAACTTTCATTTTTTTCAATCATTTCTTTCTGCCCTGGCTGTATCGTAGCAGATCACATCCCTTGCATCACAGGATATTTTGTTAAGCAATAAAATGGGCTTGTCCCTGCTCCCACTGAAGCTGATGAGTCTTCCTACTGGTTTAACCGAGAGCAATAATGGATCCCACCCATGTAACTGATACAATTAGCTTCATCCCTTTCAAGCCATCAGCAAACTCAGAGCCATCAGAATCAACATACCGTGTATTTAATTATTTTTCCTTATAAAACAAAGTGAAACACTCATGAAAGGTGCTAGAGTGAAGGTGAGGAAAACTGAAATTCTCCATCTACAGAACAGCACAGCAGTAATTCAAGTTTCCCAGCACTGCTCCCCACCCTTGTGTCTGAACCTTGACCCATATGAACTGTAGATGTGAGAATACAGTACAATCTTCATGGCTTCTCTGCTGAGATTGCTAACCAGTAGGCCCGTTGTGATGGTGGTATTTGTGATACGGGCATCCATCCACAAGGAAGTTCACTGGAGTTACCAACTCATTGCACTTAGGCCTGTAAATGACCCACTAGACAGACATGATTTCTAGAGGGAGATTTTCAAAGGCACAAAGGACAGTTAACTCCCATTGGCGTTCAGTTGGGCAGCTAAGTGCCTACCTTCCATCTGTATCTTTGAAAATATCCTGCCGCCCCCTCCATCACTATTGATCTGAACCAGGTTCAAACTGATGGGCTAGATCAAAGTTTCTATCCTATTGTTAACCCTATCTGCAAGATAAACTGGGATCAGTCTGGCTGCCAACACAGGGGCTAAAAGTGGGGTACCTCTACGTGGGATTTCTGGATGGGGCAAGGCTGGTATGGCTACACTGGTAGGAGAACTGGCTACCCCCACCGTACAGGTGTAGCATGGGACATCCTTCTCCATGCTCCTTCTAGAACATCTGACCATATCTGCCTTCCAAAGAGATCATACTGCCAGATCCCATCACTCAGGTAATGTACCTCCTCTCTCATAAGAGCTATAATTAAGCCAAAAATAAGGAAAATATCAAGTTAACTCCAATATATAGAAACCAAAGTAGGTGTCATAGAGCTATCCTGTTACTTCGGTTACACAAAGGAAAATAAATAATATTTAATAAACTTACGTAGGAGTTACTCAGGGTAGAGACCATAGCCATTTCTGACCTACCCTAATTAATCTGTCTAGTCTAATCTATCCTACACCCAGTTTACCTGAGCACCTGATAAAATTACAGAGAAAACCAAACTGAAGTGTCTTTGGTTTCTCTTCCTCCCCCTCAAAGCAAACAGTAAGTGTTATTTAAGCCCTTCTTCCATTTACTTTTATATTAAGCTTTCATATTTATTATTTGCAAGGGCTGGTGTTATTGTGAGAAAGGCATTGTGATGGATGAGGTGGGCTGTACACTTAGTCCTGAAGTAGGGTTACCATTCGTCCGGATTTACCCGGACATGTCCTCCTTTTTGTGCTAAAAATAGCGTCCGGGGGGAATTTGTAAATCACTCAAAATGTCCGGGATTTCCCCCCTCCCCCGGCAGAGCAGAGCGAGCGGCTGGGAGGGCTGCAGGAAAGTCACGGGCTGGACTCCGGAGCAGCTGTAGAGGAGCTCCTCCCCCCCTCCCTGCATTCTGAGCCGGCAGCTCCTCCTCCCCGGCAGCACCGCGCCCCGCTCCAGCAGCACTGTGTAGGGCCAGGGACCGGGTTGTGTGTTGTGCTGGGGAGCGCAGCCACGTGTCCGGCTCGCACAGAGCCCAACACCCTGTTCTGAGCAGCAGGGTAAGGGGGGCAGGAGAAGGGGCAGGGAGGTGGGGGTGGGGAGTGGTTGGATGGGACGTGGGAGTCCCAGAGGTCTGTCTGGGGGTGGGGGTGTGGATAAGGGTTGGGGCAGTCAGGGGACAAGAGGCAGGGAGACTTAGATAGGGGGTGGAGTCCTGGGGGGCAGTTAGGGGCAGGGGTCCCAGGAGGGGGCAGTCAGGGAACAAGGAGCAGGGGGAGGGTTGGGGTTCTGAGGGGGGCGGGGAGTGGAAGAGGCGGGGCTAGGGCAGGACGGGGGCGGGGCTAGGGCAGAACGGGGGCGGGGCTAGGGCAGAACGGGGGCGGGGCTCCTCCCGTCCTCTTTTTTCCGTGCTGAAATATGGTAACCCTACCTGAAGGTGATAAAATTTGTAGTAATTCTCCTTTCGGTGAGAAGGGAGTTCCATAGCTATGGGACAACCAGCAAGAAAGCTCTGCTTCCCAATCCCAGCAATCTGACTGTGTTCACAGATAATTCTGTGGTTCCAAGCGAGCAGGAGAGAGAGGGGTCCTCTGGTCATGTAGGCCTGTCCCATGAAGAACCTTGAATTTGATCTTGTCATAACTATAAAGGGAAGGGTAACAGCTCTCTGTGTACAGAGA